TTAAATATATATTTAATTCACATTTTATGCTCATTTTTAATAATATTGCACTTTAATGGAAGGTATTTTGCATGTTTTTTATTACAGGTGCAAGAAATGGAGTTTTAGCGAAAATGGAGCAAAAATATTGTAATTTGGAGTCAAATCGAGCAAGGAAGAAAGTTTCGATCTGACACATTTTGATATGACCTTCTATGCTTAATCTACTTTACAATTAACACATGTTTTTAAATGAAATTACACTTTAAAAAAATATTGTTTTCATGTTTATCTTGTCGGTATAACACTTGGAGCATATTAGAGCTAAAACGGAGTGAAACAAAGCGAAATAGGGGTGTTGCTAGCAGGGGTTGCGCTAGCGCCGATCAGGACTATAAATAGGCACCATAGCGTCGATTCTAGCGCCATAGCATTGGAGAAGGTTTTGGACGACTTTTAGACGGCCCAAGGAGATATAAGGCACCTTTTGGGACTTGGGAAGGCACCTTTTGGCTTTTCAAACTCTTGGAACTTCCTAGAACATCCAGAGGTAGTAGATGGGAGTAGGAATGTAGATTTCTACCTTTTTTGAAGAGATTGGTGAGGGATTTTGAGAGATATCTGAAAGGAATTGTAGGAACTTTGTGTGGATCAGCATAAGACTTTGTTAGAGGGATTTTCATCTTTCTTTCAGAGGAAAAAACTAGGTTTTGTGTTCTTCATTATCTTTAATTGTTGTAAATATTTTTCTAGTGATTTTTTTTTTATTTAACTGAAGTTTTCTGTTGTGCTTTCTTCATGTTTAGTGAGTAGTTTTTCTTACTATTTCTCCTTCTGATGAGATATAATCATGTGTGGGATGAAAATGATAAGAAGATTTTTTTTATTTTAATAAATTGTGATGGTATTTTCACCGATTCTTCATGGACTTTACAAACTGATCACTTGTGAGGTTAAATTCTGTTGTGAAACATAATGACCCGGGAGGGCTATGATTTTCACCAACTAGTGAGTACCATACTTAACTTTGGATAGAGCCATCACAACTGTCCGAGGGGAAGTGCAAATAGATAGGGAGATAAGTTTTGATGGGTGTAGAATTGATGTTTCTAGGGTGACAGACTAGATTTTTTTATCAATTCGTTTTGGAGTTTGGATATAAGGGTCCCTAGTAGGTCTTATAGAGAGGGCACAGTGGTTAATGTGGAAGTGAGTGACCAGAATCTACTCAGCACTACTACACAAGCTGAAACAAACTTTAGGCTAACTGATGTTCTTTGCATGCACCGAGAGAGGGTAAAGAATACATATGTTCTTATTTGTCACAATACCACATTTTAATCTTTAAACACTTAATTCCTACACTGTTTATGACCCTATCGCAAGGGAAAAAGGATTTCAATTATTTAATATCTTTCCAGAATTTAACCACACTCCTTAGATTTGGTTTTTATTTAAATTAGTTAACTTTAGTTTTATGGTAAATTAGTAAATTTAGGAAAACTAAACTTTACAAAAATTATAAACTAAGAACTGATAGTAGTAGACTAGAATTATCCTTAGGGAATTTTTACATAACTTTTCAGTGGGATCGATACTGGGGTCAACTTTTCAGTGGGATCGATACTGGGGACTTAAAAGAAAATCCTATATTACTTGAAACTATAGTACCCCTAGTGTGTAAACAATTTTCTAAATTTAAGAAAATTTTGATTTTGCACAGTAGCCGCTAAATATAAATTGGGTCAAGTTTTTGGTCATCTTTTGGAAGTTAAATTACTGTGTAATTGCGGGTCATGTCAAGTTTTTGTTCTGTTGCACGGGACTTGACTTGCATTAGAGTGTAACACTAGAGCGTATCAAATGTGAATTTTGAAGCAATAAAAAACCAAAGTCAAATATGCTTAACTAGTGTGACCACACATAGTTCGGGCATGACCACGCGATGCCCCAGATAGTCATGCCAGGATCGAGTGTGACCACACCACTGTATCGAAAAGTTAGGTGTGATTACGTCGGGTTTGGGTGTGACCATGCCACCGAAGTTGCATTCGCATTTGAAAATAATTACGTTGTTAAAAAGGGGCCACAATTATAAAAACTCATTCTAGGGCACGAATAGAGCATCTTGGGCGTCTGGATTTGGAGAGAAGTTTTGGAGCTTGGATCTTTCCCTTAGGGTTCTTTTTCCTTACTTGAAGTTGGAGGCCTTAATAGCTTTTTTCTTTCTTCTTTCTCTTCTTTTTTATTTTCTTTGAGAGATCATTATATGAGAGGGACATCACCTGTTGTTCTGGAGAGGACAATTTGTTCTTATAAGTTTTACATTTTTGTCTTTCTGATACAGGTTAGCGCATTCTCGTGGTCTTTCTTGTATGTTTTACCCATAATATTTTTCAAGACTGCATGTATCATGATGTTGCTTAACTTTTTGTTTTCATTTGCTTTTGATCTGACCAATTAAGATGTTAAAATATTTTGTAATCTAAGACTTGCCTGTCGCATGGTGGAACAATAAGTTAACATCTAAAACCTAGTAGAATAAACAGATTCTAGATATGGATTTGCATCGGAAGAATTCTAAGAAATACCAATGGGTTAAGCGAAACTAAATGGGTTTCTAATTCTTCTTATAACCTAGACATAGGCTAAGGAGAAAACTTTATCTCCGGTTGACAACTATCATGTAAGAGGACATTTAGAAAAACCACAAACCACCACTACACCAAGTCACAGAGGCACGGACCTCATCTCTCATGATGAACATTAAGCTTTTCAGCTTTCTATTATATGCTTTTCGAGATAGTGTTTTTGTTTTCTGTTTGTTGTTTAGAATTATAGGATTTCAGGATTTTATTGTGATCATGCCAAGGTTTTTAGAGTTAATAAATTAGAGCTTTTTATGTCGGAAGATTTCTTAGCCCTTTCCTCATGGGATTGACATGTGGACTCTTAATCAGCATATTAATTTACATGTATAATTATGTGATTGACGAACTTACCTCACAACAACTTTTTGGTCACCATACAAAGTGCACACACATTGTACAATCCATTGTCATTTCCCTCACCCTCACTCCAAACATCGTCATCCTCTTTTAAATAAGAATTTGTCACTATTTCGGACAACTTCTGTATTTTTGTCCACTCAGAAGAAATCAAATGAGCCTTCTCCAAATGAATAGGACCATAATGGATTCCTATGAGTTCCTCGATCATCTTGTTCTGCCTCACCCTTCTTTGTAAGTTCTTGCAGACCCAACGCTCATGGCACATAAGGCTTGCCAGAGTACTTAAAGCTTGCCAAGCCAACACATGCATGTGAGCCACTTCTAATGAAAGTTCAATCTGGCCGAGTCTTGAGAAACTCGCAGCCACGAACTAAGACGCAAGGATAGGGTTTAAAATGGAAGCATCCCAAGGGACAGAATGGTTCTGTGAGTTCTATTCCTTCTTCAAGTCAATTCGAGCAAACTGACCCCCTCAGCTTATCATTACCTTTGATTCTCAGATATGTAAATACATAAGAATTGAGTGGTATGCATGTAAATCTTTAATTTTTTTAGGAGATATTGGAGTAAAGTCTACACAGTTCAAAGCAGAACACTTAATAAAAAAATATTGATCATGTTATGTTTAATCCAATTCAAAGATATGAACAGAAAACCACAAAATAAAAATTAAGTGGCAATTACAGTCATAACACACAATTCTAATGTATTTACATATCCAATACCTAAACATTCATATTTACATGTATAACTCTCAAAACTTTAATATCATGGACATCAAAAATACCACCACCACCATTATAAACATTTTAAAAGTGAAATGTATATAGTTTTACGACACAACCGTGTTATAAGTGTAAATATCAAATTTTAGAAGTGAGATATGTAAAATACATAAGAATTGTGTGTGCAAATTTTTCAAAAATGAAACCAAGACAACCTTGCACTGAAGCGACAAGGATCCTGAAATGCAGAGAATTCAATTGAGGTGCAAGGAACCAACATGGGAGAACACAGAATATGGTTGGGGAAAGTTATAGGATGGGTAATGGGAGTGGGAGGAGTGATGTCGGCTGAAATCAAGCGTGAATGTCAGCCGGACAGCGAGCCGAAAGATGCAAATAACAGATTTCTGCAGTCAACAATTCGGAGAGGAAAGAAAATTTTGGATTTTCCAGAAGAAATCACCACCTCGATAAAATTAGATTACAATCACATCATTTGATAGAAGTAAAATGATACAACACTCTAATAGAGGAAACAGGGAGAAAAAAATCTTCAATTAACACAAAACAAAGCAAAACTCTGCACAATCAAGCTCTAAGCAACATACTTAACTAAGACATCAATTAAGCCAGAATTCTGGTTAAATATTGGATGCATGTAGGTTGCTAGAATTGAGAGCATGGGATTGGAAGAGGGAGTTAGGCCTGCTATGTCACCTGGAGTTCGTCGGCAGCTTGCTAGAGACAATGGGGCTATTGGATGCAAGTAGGATTTAGTAAATCCTGTTAATCCACATTTATTAATTCCTGACATGGTTAAATTTTGAAAAATGTCTGGAATGAAAAATGTTAAACCTTGTTAAATTTTGTGAAACTTTTTGGTAATTTGTTTCAGGATTTAAGTTTGTTGCTTCAGATATGAGATGCAAAGTTTAGGATTTGAAATGAGACTGGTCTTGGAAAAGTTTTCCATGGTGATGGCAGGGAAACTTATCACTAATTATTCCTTATTTGATGCAACACATCTTAAGTTTGCTCATGTAAATGAATTGAAATATCTGCAGTTAAAGGTGATCTCCTACTCCCAATTCCATTCCTTTTATAGTTGTTTTTTACTTTTATTTTGTATCATCTGTCAATCTCCTATCAAAGAACTCAAAAACGAAGATGATCAAATATTTAGATTGCATTTCGCAAAACAGGAAACTAAGCAACTAAAATAGCCAAAGAAGAAACGGCAAAGTAATCAAGAAGAAGAAGAAAAAAGCTTACTAGTCATTGCCTATCATATGAACATTTCTTTTCCAGAGCATATACTTCAATCAAACAGTCGTTTAATTTTCTAAAACCAAACTCTAAAACCAAAGGGAAAAAAACAAGATAGGTAAAACCATAAACCCTAAAGTATTTTTCTAAAACCAAATTCTCAGAAATCGCCGTCGTTGAGCCTCCTGCCGATCTCGAATGAGACAAAAGCATCAACACACGCGTACATTATCTGATCCAATGAAAGATAAGCTTTATCCCACCGGCTCATCGTCACATATTTCGGCTTATACATGGAAACCCCCATTACCTCCCAGGCAATCCCGGCGAGCCCCTTCTGCATCATGTCATTTCGCCCCATCACATCTTTCGCGAGATCCCTAAGATCGACTGAATTGGAGACGTCCAAACGTATCTCGTTAGCGAGACGATCGACGTCGGCCTTGACTCCGACCCCTACGAAGGTGAAGCGCGAGTCTGCGAGGAATTCGTGGAGAGAATTGGGGATATAGTCGGCGAAGAGAAGTTGGAATATGAGGCAACGTCGGCCGACGCAAAGCTGCAGTAAGGCAATGGGATTCTGGTGGCGAGAGTAGGAAGGGCGCCATTCGAGATCGATGCCGACGATTAGGCGTGAGAGCCTGCGGCGATGGATTCGGAGGATCTCTGATATCCAGGTATGGACTTTGTCGCCGTAGGACGTCAGCGTCGTCTTGATGTAGTCGGATCCATTGAAGATCACAGTGAAGTCTGTGTTTGAGTGTTTCTCGATCTCTGTCGTCATTTTCTTGCCGGATGGTTTCGCGCTCGCAGGAAATCAGGAGGCCTTGCTTTTGTTGTCTTGCAATAAGAGTGCGTATGGATGATTTAAAAATATTTCAAAATGATTTTTTTTTTTCTTTTAGTGGTAATTGCATGCATAGCATCATAATCATTGCTATTTACAAATCAAGCGACCTCTTTTATCCATTTTTTTTTAATTCTCAATGAAATAATAAAATTCATGCTGAAATCTCAACTCATAATTCTTAATGATTTGATCGTGACAAATGCAAATGCATCAGTTTAATTGTTCAAAAAATCATGTGCGTGCAAAATTTATAAGCAACAATGTTTCAGGTGCTATGTATCTAATTATTCATTTCTTTTAGCATAAGTAGAATCTATCAAAAATTACTAAAATCAATAGTAAATTAGATTTAAATTGAATTCAATAATTTTAATGGAAAAATTAAATTAAAATTTTATCTCATAGTGCATTTATTTAAATTAATATTCAATAATTTTAATATATAAAAAATTGATAATTCAATAATTTTAATGGAAAAATTAAATTAAAATACCTTGAAACACTTTTTTAATATATAAAAAATTGATTTTTTTTTATCTCATAGTGCATCTATTTAAATTAATATTCATATTTATTTTTTAAAAAAACACCAAATCAAGATTCAAGACAATAAATCATATTAACTTACTTACTATTTCATCATACAATAAATTAAATATATCACAATGAGTGATATTTTTATTATTAATTTCCCTCAAAACCATCATATAATTCTCATATGGATCTCATTCAATTTTTACCACATTCAATCTTATCCAAATATACTATAGTTTTTATAAGGTATGTGAGTTGGTTATCTAAAATGAGTTGGTCCTGCCTAACATTTTTATGGGCAATGAAAGCACAAACCCCACAACTCCTTTGGCAATCCAACCCCACCACTCAAAACTCAAGCAATTATCAAGGATATAGCCTTTTTGGTTATATCAAATGGGACATGCCATAATTAACTCCATCCACCACCCAAGGACATCTCTAAGTCTCCAAATTCAAACATACCATTTTTGTCCAATATGACCTTCATGCCATGTTTGCTTCCTTGTCTAAATCAATCATGATTTTGATAGTCTCCTCTTCACTATCTTGCGATGCATGAAACACAATCACTTGTATATACCCCAATCACTCACAATCATAAATTTTAGCAACATAAGTTTTAGCAAAAATTATATCACAGCATTTTTATTTTCTTAAAACCTAAAATTATGCCAATTAACTAGCTCTTTGTTGAACCAGAATTTAAGGAATCAATAGAACCATTCATGCTAAAGAACACCATCTCTTTTAAATCCATCCAAGACAAACTAATGAAATAGAAGAACTTAAAAAAAACCGAAAGTATGATAGTCATTATAAACTTATTATCAACAACTCACAAAATTACGATTTTATCGCCAAAAAAAATTTATTATTTTAAACAAAAGCCTTTGGGATAAAACATGGCATAACTAGAGGAACTCGGGTTAAGCAATTCTAGTACAAAATCGAAGCACAAATTCTAAGATATAATCTTAGATAAAGCTAAAAATTCTTGATAAAATATAATTTAAAGCATATTTCAATATGCTAATAAATTTTTATCTATAATATTAGTATAAAAAATAACATTACTATGTGATATAAATAAGCATTCGTTCAGTTTTAAAGTACTATAACATATATTATTTAGTAAAAATAGCAGTTTTAAAATATTTTCATTATTTAAAATAATCGAGTGTACTAAATGAAAATATAGATCAATTGTGAAAATTATAAAGAGATATAAATAAAAAAAAGTATTATTACAATAAAAATTGCTCGTAGAATAATAACAATTTTTTTAATTTTTTAAAAACTTAATAAGAGTGATAATTATATTAAAATATTAAAATTTCATCATATCACACACGCGCACACACACAGACAAACCTATCATGTAAATATTAAGAGAAATTTCAAATAAATTAATTAAGTACGTTTTATTTTAAATTTTTTTTTTCACAGGAAGGGGAAAATCTATTTAGAAAAATAAAAATTTTTTTGTTGTGCAAACATTGTGTTATTCTTAATTTTGTTTTCCAATATTAGAGAAAATAGAACAAGCTATGACACAAAGAACCTTGACCTAAATAAAAAATCATGAAGCATAATGAAAGGAACAAATTTGATTTAGGCAAATGATAAGTAATAATATCTTTTGAAATCAACACAAAATTTCTTCATTTAGGTGAAAACAACTAAACTTGAAGAATGATATCTTTATAAATTTACTCAAATGGCAACCTAAAATCCATTTTTGGATTTCTTATGAGCTTCAAGGCATAGCCTATATATTTCATAGTTATAAAATGATTACAAAAGTTATAATTCTCAAGGTTAGATATATTTTTCACAAAAATTATTTTATTTCAAGTTTGTTTAATTTTTTCTCTTATTAATTCAGGAAAAATACAATATAGGTGGAAAGCATAACTATTTCACAAGGGATTTAAATCCTTTACGATAGTCCCCTCACAAAATTTTGATATAAGGTAAGCATGTTATTTTAAATGATTTATGCCTAGTTTATGAAGGCTTGACTTAAAAGGTATGCAAAATTTGCTAAATAGAGGAATTAATCCACCATTATAAATACAAATCAAACTTGATTTAACTTTGGTAATCTTCACCTAGCTAAGGAGACTAGGCCAAAATTGAGTAAAAATTAATTTTCACAAGGTTAATTTTTGTTTCATGATTTATCACATACAATACAGTAGATGGTGATTCGATGGGTAACAACATCATCATAAGTGAGCAAGGAGAAAGTACAAATTATAACTTCGACTTATCTAAGTCATTAAAAGATTTGTCTATCATTTTATAAACCTATTTTAATTGCCTTCATTGAGTTTCGTTAAACCAAAGCTAGTCCATGAGATTTAAATTGTAGCAACATGTTTAATATTGCAAGGATTAAGAAATCCTCATTTCTAGGATTCCAAAGTGTATGATGCACTAGTGAAAATCGAAAGGAAGGTATCTCATTTCTTGGAAGTTCTTACTACCCACAAGCACTTCATATAAGCCCATCAATTTTATTAGGGTATAATGTAATGGAATCTTAATGTGTTTCATTTCTAAGTGTTTCTAATTTGTGAATGACTAAAAAAGTTCAAATTCAAATTTGATGATTAATGGAGCACTATGAAATAAAATTAATTATAATGATGAGCAATCTACGCAATTTTGAGTGACAAAGAGTAGTATTTAAGGCATATGATTTTATTTTTTACCTTCAAGCCAAACTACCTCTATATAATCCAACATATACCTTAATCTTAATTGTGGCCTGAGCTTCATTTATACATATGGAAATATAGTTACATTTTATTGAATAAATGTTCTTATAAATGTTTATTAATCATAAAAATATGATATATCAGCCTTCCTAATTTTATGGTTAATTAAAAAAAAGTAAATATTTTTTATTCATGGAAAGCTAATTAGAAAGCTTTGTATTTTTGTACGTAAACAATCTTGCATGGTAAAGGAAATGAGTAATTTTGATAAAAAAAGGGCTAAAATTTTCTATTTCAGGATTGGATATGACAATATGAATAATAAATCTTCTCGAAATTTAAAAATATTCTTTGATAATGGATCTACTTACAAAATGAGTAATTTTAGGACTCAGATCTACGTTACTAAAATTTTTTCCTTGCTCAATTTGGCTTGGACATGATTTATTTTTATTATGGAGTACACATTCCATATAAAGGTAAGACAAATAAATTAATTACAACATAAGGAGATTGTCCCCTAAAAATACTTTCAATTTAAAAATGACTCTCATGTTCCTATAGATTTAAAAGTTTGATTTTCAGTTTTAATTATTTTAGGAATTCAATCAAGATATGCCCAAGGGAATAATTATTATTGCTAAAGAAAAAAGGAGGGTAGGAAGTGTCAAATAATTAGTAGCCTAGTGACCCATTAAACTATTGTACAATCAGACTTGATATTTTATATGAGGATTTGATTTTTACTTTGAACTGTTCATTTTATTAAAAAAAATAAGACTTACAACCCATCGACATGAGATTGAAGATAAATACAAGATGTGAGGACTTCTATTGCAGTGAAGAAATGAATTATCTCAAATCTTAAAATTAGGGTGTGCTTTATTAATACAGGTAGGTAGCTTAACCTAGTTAAATGAATTATAATGAGACGTAATGATCTCAAATTTACTGTGAAAAGAAACCAAGCCCAATCTTAAAAACTTATAAGCCTATTTAAAATGGGGTAGCTAACTAACCAAGCTAAACTTCAAATCTATGAGTTTATTTATATGCGAAAGAGAAAGGGGAAAGATCACCATTAGATTTTAGGAGAAATAAGGACTTATGATTCAATCCTATAGATCAAATAGTAGAATATGATAGGTGTGATATGGACTTAACTAATGTAACATTTTATGATTCCTATCTAATTGAGTTTGGTTTGATTCATTCTTAAAGTGTATACAGGCTAATGCATGAAATTTAAGAATTAAATTCTTAAAAATATTAGTATAAATGATTTTTTTAAGAAAAAAATGCTCTCTAGAAAGGGCAGTTTAATTTTTCTTAGTGAAATGATGTTCAATTATGTCCAATGGGTGAAGTGCTAATGTTATGACGAGACTGATTTGCAAATGGAATTGTTTGATTATTTACATGATTCTAATTCCTTTTATTAGTTGTTCTTTCTAAGAGAACATAATTTTTTTATTTTAAAACTTTCATAATTTTATTTTGAGTTGTTAGATTGGATAGAAAATTTGCATTATCCTAAGTGCTTAATGTGTAAAATCAGACATTACAAACACAAAAAAAAAAAAAAAAAACATAAAAAGTTATTTAAAAAAATAAGCATTTTAGCACACACACAAAATAAAAACATAAAAAACCCCAAAAAAATAAAATAACATAAAAAGAGACTAATGTGACCAGGATTTGTTCTACACCATATAAGGAA